CCCAGTAACCCGCGTCCGCCACTCACCGCACCCGCAACTCCGGAAGCTATTCTTAAAGCTTCGCTGGCGGAGACAACGTTTTGATCGGTTGGCTGCAACAACTCAGCGAGCTACAGGCAACACTGTCTCCCCAACAACGCGGAGTGATGATCACGGTCGCCCGGGTACGTGGCTCTGCGCCACGGGAAGTGGGCGCCAGGATGTGGGTCACCACAGACATCACCAGAGGTACCATTGGCGGCGGTGAACTGGAGTACCAATGTCAGGCCATCAGTAACCAGTTACTCGAAGGCAACAGTGGCAATACAGCCTTTGTGCGGAACTTTCCACTCGGCAGTAACTGCGGTCAATGCTGCGGCGGTGTTGTCGACATCTTGTTTGAAACTTTCAGAGCAGCACCAACCACCTGGCAACAGCAGGTGACTGAAACACTGGCACAGGGACAAAGCGGCTATCTGACAACCGACCTTGCCGATGAGCCAGGCAAGAAGGCATTCAGTGCACATCATCCTGCCGTCGGTAAAACCACAATGGTTGAACACATCCAACCTGCAACGGCGGCGATTGCAATTTTTGGTACCGGACATGTCGGTACTGCGCTGGTTAATATCCTGACCCAGACGAATTATCAGGTGATCTGTATCGACAATCGTCCGCAGCAGTTACCGCTTGATGCCGCCACGAATATTCAATCAACGTACCAGAAACAACCAGCCGCTTATGTCAGCGCGCTCGCAGCAAAAACCGCTTGCGTAGTGATGACCCATAACCACGCCCTGGATTTTGATATTTGTGCCGCAATGCTTAAACGGGACGACTTGTGCTTCTACGGCCTGATTGGCTCACAGTCTAAGCGTCAGCGTTTTCAACGCCTGTTCAGACAGGCGGGGTTAGACGAAGTGCAGATCAATCGCCTGACCTGCCCTGTTGGTGACACAGCGGTCACGAGTAAACGTCCTGGCGAAATTGCCATCACCATCGCCGCACAACTATTGCGGCATCTTGAGGTCGCTGCACAAACAAACCAAACGGATACAATACATGCTGCCGTACATCGTTGATTGGCTGAGCCTGCTTGGCCGGTGGTTCCATATCATTGCGGGTATTGCCTGGATCGGCTCATCGTTCTATTTCGTCTGGCTCGATAACCATCTGTTGCCTCCACGAGACAAGCAGGACAGCGAAAAAGGTGTTGGCGGCGAAGTGTGGTCTGTTCATGGTGGCGGTTTCTACCATGCACAGAAATACATCAGCGCACCTGACCAGATGCCTGAGCCGCTCCACTGGTTTAAATGGGAGGCTTACAGCACCTGGATTTCCGGAATTTTCCTGCTTGCTTTGATGTACTGGTACGGCGCTGAAATTTACCTGATCGATCAGTCGGTTAACTCAATCAGCGCGTTAGCCGCAGTGAGTCTGGCCATCGGATTTATTGCCGGCGGCTGGCTTATCTATGATCTTCTATGTAAGTCACCTTTAGGTAAAAACGATACAACGCTGGCAATCAGCATTCTCTTATTTGTCAGCTTGTTAGCGTGGGCACTCTGTCAGGTATTCAGTGGCCGAGGGGCATACATTCACTACGGCGCGGTGCTCGGCACGATCATGGTGGCTAACGTATTTTTTGTCATCATTCCAGGTCAGAAGCGCATGGTTGGCGCTGCCCAGGAAGGGAAAGCGCCAGATCCACAATACGGTATCAGAGGCAAACAACGCTCGGTTCACAATACTTATTTCACGTTGCCGGTTTTGTTTGTGATGATCAGCAATCACTACGCTTCAACTTACTCCCACGCCTATAACTGGCTGATTCTGATTGCTTTATCTCTTGCTGGCGCGTTGATCCGTTACTATTTTGTAACCCGCCACAAAGGCAAAGCGCCGCTATGGCCGGTGGCAGTCGCACTTGGCTTAATCGCGCTTGTCGCGGTTCCGCTGGCACCCGCAAAACGGTCTGACGTCACTGCTACAGCCGTCTCTGTTGATGAAGCACACAGCATCATTCTTACCAGATGTGTTTCATGTCACGCGGAACAGCCTACATTTGCTGCCTATACCAGCCCACCGGGAGGCGTCGTGTTAGAAACTACAGAACAGATTCAGGCGCAGGCATCGAGGATTTACGAACAAACCGTTGTCAGTCGTGCGATGCCTATCGGCAATCTGACGCAGATAACGGAAGAGGAAAGAAGCAGAATTGCCAGTTGGTATGCAACACGTCCAGAAGCACAAACAGCAGCAAGTCCCGGTGAATAGATTATGACAGAGCGTTACAGCAGAGATCTCATTGGCTATGGGCAAAAACCACCGGAAGCGGATTGGCCAGGCCAGGCGAAGCTGGCACTGCAGTTTGTGATCAACTATGAAGAGGGCGGCGAACGCAGCCTGCTCCACGGCGACAACGAATCAGAAGCGTTTCTCTCGGAAATTATTGGCGCCCAGGCCTATCAGAACATGCGTCACATGAGCATGGAGAGTCTCTATGAATATGGCGCTAGAGCAGGATTCTGGCGACTGCATCGTCTGTTTACCGAACGCCAGCTGCCGGTCACCGTGTTTGGCGTCGCCATGGCGCTGGCCCGCAACCCCGATGCAGTGGCCGCGATGAATGCTGCTGACTGGGAGATTGCAAGCCACGGATACCGCTGGCTGGACTATCAGTTCATCGACGAGGAAACGGAACGCCACCACCTGCAGCAGGCCATCGATATTCATCAGGAGGTCACAGGCGCAGCTCCTCAAGGCTGGTACCTGGGGCGAACAAGCCCCAATACCCATAAGCTGGTCGCCCAGAACAACAGCTTTTTGTACAACGCAGACAGCTATGCAGACGATCTGCCCTACTGGGACACACAATTTGCCAATCCGCAGTTGATGGTGCCTTATACACTGGACGTTAACGATATGCGGTTTGCTACAGCCCAGGGTTTTAATACCGGCACCCAGTTCTATGACTACCTTATCGACACATTTGAGCAGTTGTATGCCGAAGGTCAGGTATCGCCAAAAATGATGTCCGTCGGTTTACATTGCAGGCTTGCTGGCAGACCTGGGCGCGCCGCTGCTCTCGCGCGTTTTCTGGATTATGTCCAGAAAAAAGAAGGCGTATGGTGTTGCACACGTGTAGATATCGCAAACCACTGGCGGGCCGCTCATCCCCTGCAGAGTAAGACAACATGACACTGGATCAGGACGCTTTTGTGCAGCGCTATGGTGGCGTTTATGAGCACTCACCCTGGATCGCACAGAGCAGTTGGGCAGAGGGCCAAAAGGCATCCACAGCGGCGGAACTATCGGCCATTATGTCCGCGATTGTCGACCAGGCGGAGACAAGCAAACGCCTTGCGCTGATCCGCGCACACCCTGATCTTGCCGGTCGTCTGGCGGTGGCTGGTGAACTCACCGCCGCCTCTACAGACGAACAGGCCAGCGCGGGTTTGGATCAATGCAGTCCTGAGGAATTTGCCACTTTGCAGCGGCTCAACCAGGACTACAAAAAGAAATTCACCTTCCCGTTTGTCATGGCCGTGAAAAACAGCAATCGGCACAAAATCATGGCGGCCTTTAAAGAACGTCTGGAAAACAGCTACGACACAGAATTTGATAAGGCCATCGCCGAGATTCACAAAATTGCCCGTCTACGTCTGGAGCAACTGTTTTGAGTAGTACCCCGCACCCGTTCCACCAATGGATAGATCTCGCGCAACCACGCCTGGGCAGCCAGGTGGTTTATGCAACGGATGATTTTTTTGCAGATAAATCGAGGCTGATTGACCCCAAACCGCCTGTCTTCATCCCGGATAAGTACGATGACAATGGCAAATGGATGGACGGCTGGGAGAGCCGGCGCAAACGTACACCCGGCTATGACTACTGCATCGTTAAACTGGGTACACCCGGGATCATCCACGGCTTTGATATCGATACCTCTCATTTCACAGGCAATTATCCACCGGCTGCGTCTATAGATGCGTGCTACAGCAATGCGCAGATCCCTGCCGAGACAGCAGAATGGGTAAACATTGTGCCCAACAGCAAGCTGGCAGGAGATAGTCACCTGTTCATGCCAGTCAGATATGAACAGCCGGTCACCCACCTGCGGCTGAACATATTCCCGGACGGCGGTGTCGCGCGTTTACGCGTCTACGGTGAAATCCGCAAAGAATGGCAACAACATCCGCCAGGAAGCGTTACCGATCTGTTTGCTCTGGAGAATGGTGGGCGAGCCTTAGCCTGCAATGACGAACATTTTGGCAGCATGCACAATCTCAATATTCCCGGCCGTGGCGTGAACATGGGCGACGGCTGGGAAACGGCTCGACGACGCACACCAGGTAACGATTGGGTTATCCTGCAATTGGGCACACCCGGCATCATCAGTGAAGTTGAAATTGATACCGCGCACTTTAAAGGAAATTACCCAGATCGGGTTTCTCTTAAATGTATCAACCTGCATGTCGACACAAAAGAAGACCTGGCAACAGCCTCAGCAAACTGGCCGCTGTTAATGGCTGAACAAAAGCTGACAATGGACCATATTCATACCTTCACCGATCTGAAACCCCACGATGCTATCACCCACGTACGTATGGATATTTTCCCGGATGGTGGAATCAGCCGGATCCGACTACGCGGCATACCCTCACTTTTGGAAGCCTAACTCTGTGAAACAGGAACTACAGCTACAACCCCTGTCCCAGGAACTGTTTGCGCCATTCGGTCAGGTGATAGAAACCAGAAGTGATGACAAAGCAGAAGACGATCGCAAACCGATGAACGATGCTAGATTTCTTCGTTTCGATAATCTTGCCACCACCGACGTAGCGCCCGGTTGCCACGCAATCATCAGCATTGCCCAGTGTTTACAGGCAACACAACTTCCTTACCCGATCACTCTGCTGGAAAGGCACCCTCTGGGTAGCCAGGCTTTCATCCCCCTGCAGCAGCAACAGATGATTATTGTAGTTGCGGAGTCTACTTCTAATGGCGAACCCGGAGAATTAATGGGCTTTGTCAGTAATGGACAACAGAGCATTCAATATCACCGTGGCACCTGGCATATGCCGCTGATCGCTTTTCAACCAGGCGCCACCTTTCTTATCGTCGACAGTGATGACTCACAACCGAACTGTGATGAATTCTCACTCAGCGAAGCTGTGTATATCCCCGCCTCCGCTTTGCCAGGCCAGTTTCAGGCGGTCAATAAACCCTGATGTTTTATAAATTCGGCAATATCGTTCAGACCCGTTGATTCTTTCAAATTAGTGAAAACAAAGGGTCGCTCCCCTCGCATGCGTTTAGCATCTGTATCCATAACAGACAGTGATGCCCCTACATAAGGCGCCAGATCAATTTTGTTGATGACCAGCAGATCTGATTTGGTAATACCCGGGCCACCCTTGCGGGGAATTTTGTCTCCCGCAGAAACGTCGATGACATAGATCGTCAGGTCTGACAGTTCAGGACTGAAAGTAGCGCTCAAATTATCGCCGCCACTTTCTACAAAAATGATATCCAGATTTCCGTGAAGATCCTGGAGTTCCGCAATAGCTGCCAGATTCATAGAAGCATCTTCACGTATGGCAGTATGCGGACAGCCTCCTGTTTCAACACCCCGGATACGCTGAGCGGGCAGCGCGCCATGATGGGTCAGAAACTGCGCATCTTCCTGGGTATAAATATCATTGGTGACCACAGCGATACTGAACGTGTCCCGTAACAGCTGACACAAAGCTAAAGTGAGTGCGGTTTTCCCCGAGCCTACCGGACCACCGATGCCGACACGTAATGCTGTTTTATTCATTCATCCAACCTCTTATTTAATCCACATGTTTGCTTCAGCTGCGAAACAATCGGCTGTATTGCGTTTCATGCCAACTGCTCAGCAGCGCCAGGCCCGGCAGCGAGCGACCTATGTCTGCATCATCCAACAAATCAGCGGTGGTCACTGCCTGTTGCAATTCGTACGTAAGCTGCAGCAACAGACGTTGTCCATCGGTTTGCCCTAATGGCACCAGTTTGATTGCGGCTGCAACCTGATTTTCAAGCCAGGCCCAGACCAGACCATGAGCGCCGTCAGTGCGCGTAACATCCCAACGAACACAGGCCAGCGCAAACATGGTGGCAAAACTTGGCTGCGGCAAGACACCGGCATCAGCGACATCAAGGTCCAGCATCAGTCGCTGCAGAGCAGCGCCGGTCTGCCTGTCTTCGGCCAGCAACTCCTGAGTTTCCCGCAGGCTCTGCAGCTTCTCGGTAGCCTGCACCACTGCATGAAGGTCCTGTTTTTCCCACAGATCGTAGAGACGGAAATACATCGGTAAATCATTGAAAGCAAACGACTCTCCGAGCAGTCCAGCCAACCAGTCTTTGCAGGACATAAAGTCATTCACATAGCCAAGTTCAACAGCCGTTTCCAGTCCTCCACTATAAGCATAAGCCCCAACCGGCAAAGTAGAACTGATCAATTGCCAGAGACGGACATCACTCATGATGGTGATGATGTCCATACGCGCCAGCTTCCGGCTCGAAGGGTTCATCTTCGTGCCTGATCTCCAGACCAAGCTGTTCACACATACCATCAAGCACATGATCTGCAAGGTAGCGTACCCAGCCACTCCCAACCTGCAGAGGCACGTGACGGTTCCCCAGGTGATAGGCTGCCCGAGCCAGCTGAGTAATGTTGTTAGCACTCACCGTCGAAACACGTTCAGGTGCAGCTTCAACAGATATCACCTCACCGGTGCTGTCGCCCAGACAATCGCCATGTCTGAGCACCGAGCCCCGCTCGATGACAACGGCCACATCGCGCCCATCAGCTAAAACCGCGCGGAAACGACTCTTCTGGCGAATCTCAAAAGGCAATGCCAGCACCCCGGTGCTGGATTCGGGTTTACTCAGTTTTTCTGTTAGTTCAAGCATGCTTAGAAGAGAAAATACTTTTGTGCCATGGGCAACTCCGTTGCGGGCTCACAAGTCAGCAAATTACCGTCGGCCCGCACTTCGTAGGTTTGTGGGTCCACTTCAATATCCGGCTGGTAAGTGTTCAATAACATGTCCTTTTTCTGCACCGTACGACAGCCTGTTACGCCCACTACCCTGTTTTTTAAACCTATCGATTCTGCAACGCCAAGGTCAATCGCTGCCTTAGACATAAAACTCACACAAGTATGGTTACGCACGGCGCCCAACGCGCCAAACATCTGTCGATACATCACCGGTTGAGGGGTGGGTATCGACGCGTTGGGATCCCCCATCGGCGCTGCGGAAATAAATCCACCCTTTATGATCAGGCTGGGTTTGGTGCCAAAAAAAGCGGGTTTCCATAACACCAGATCGGCGAGTTTTCCTACGGCGATGGAACCCACTTCATGGGCGATGCCGTGAGCAAGCGCGGGATTGATTGTGTACTTGGCGATGTATCGTTTTACACGATGGTTGTCGGCACGACTGCTGTCTTCGGGTAGCGGGCCACGTTGGGTTTTCATCTTGTGCGCGGTTTGCCAGGTTCGGCATACAACCTCGCCTACACGACCCATCGCCTGTGAATCGCTGGCGATCATCGAAAATGCACCCAGATCATGCAGAATGTCTTCTGCCGCTATCGTTTCCCGACGAATCCTGGATTCAGCAAAGGCAACATCTTCGGGGATACTGGGATCCAGGTGATGGCAGACCATCAACATATCCAGATGTTCATCAATGGTATTCACGGTATATGGTCGTGTTGGATTGGTACTCGAAGGTAAAACGTTAGCCGAACCACACGCCTTGATGATATCCGGCGCATGCCCGCCGCCGGCTCCTTCAGTATGGTAGGTGTGGATAGTGCGGCCTTTAAATGCAGCCAGCGTGTCTTCAACAAACCCGGATTCGTTCAGGGTGTCGGTATGGATCGCAACCTGAATGTCATACTGTTCTGCCACACTCAAACAATTATCTATAGACGCCGGGGTTGTGCCCCAATCTTCATGTAGCTTCAAACCCATCACGCCGACTTCCACCTGCTCTTTCAGAGCATCGGGCAAACTGGCGTTACCTTTGCCCAGAAAACCGATGTTAACCGGCAACGAATCTGCTGCCTGATACATGCGATGAATATTCCACGGTCCCGGGGTGCACGTAGTCGCGTTGGTTCCGGTTGCCGGACCTGTACCGCCCCCCAACATGGTAGTTATGCCGGACATCAATGCTTCGTCCACCTGCTGTGGACAGATAAAATGAATGTGCGCATCGATCCCGCCCGCGGTTAGGATCTGACCTTCGCCGGCGATCACTTCGGTGCCGGGGCCAATCACGATATCGACACCAGCCTGGGTATCAGGGTTTCCCGCTTTGCCAAGCGCAAATATTCTGCCTGCCTTAATACCCACATCAGCCTTAACAATACCCCAGTGATCCACGATCAAGGCGTTGGTAATGACCGTATCAACAACATGTTCAGAAGTTCGCTGGCTTTGCCCCATGCCATCCCGAATCACTTTACCGCCACCAAACTTTACTTCATCGCCGTAACGGGTGTGGTCTGCTTCTACCTCAATAATCAGCGCGCTGTCGCCAAGACGCACCCGATCCCCAACGGTAGGGCCAAACATATCCGCATAAGCCTGTCTTGAAAGCTTCGCCATTATTGCGCACTCCCCATATCACCCATCACCTTGCCCTGAAAGCCATAAGCTTTTCGCTCACCGGCAAAGTCCACCAGTTCTACATCGCGCTCCTGGCCGGGTTCAAAGCGCACGGCTGTACCCGCGGCAATATTCAGCCGCATGCCACGCGTTGCCTCACGATCAAAGATCAAGGCGTTGTTGGTTTCAAAAAAATGGTAGTGGGAGCCCACCTGAATGGGTCGATCCCCTGAGTTGGCGACAGTGATCGAACGTGTCGCCAAGCCTGCGTTGAGTTCGATATCACCTTCAGCAACCAGCACCTCCCCAGGAATCAGACCCGGTTCGTGCGGAATGGGATTGTGTACCGTCACCAGTTTTGTGCCATCGGGGAAAGTCGCTTCTACCTGTACTTCGTGAATCATTTCCGCAACGCCTTCCATCACCTGGTCTGCGCTCAGCAGCGTGGTGCCGTAATGCATCAGATCTGCCACCCGCCGGCCGTCCCGCGCCCCTTCCACAATCGCATTAGAAATAAGAGCAACTGCCTCGGGATAATTAAGTTTGACGCCTCTGGCAAGCCTGCCTTCCGCCACCAGCGCGGCTGTAAACAGAAGCAGCTTATCTTTTTCTCTAGGTGTGAGTTCCATTTATCTGTTTCTCTCTTCTTCGCGATCTAAGTGATCCTGATCTATATATTCCAACTCTATATGTTCCAGCTCTATGTGTTCCAGATTCGGGGTGGACAGGCTGCGCGCGCCAGAAGCAGCGGACGAATAAGTTCCCAGACCTGGATAAAGATCCGCCGCAGATCCTGCGCCTGCGCAGCCATGCCACGAATCACAAGCAGATCGTTTAACAAGGTAACGCCAACAGGGAAACTGGCAGAGGGAAGGACATCCCGCACTTTGTCTCGCAGCTCGGTAGTGCCGGGATATGCAAGCATTACGCCAATCGCCGTGTTCTGATTAAGACCCCAGGGCGAAGTCATAAATGAAGATTTTGCGTCCAGCATCAGACTGTCGTGCAACAGTAGCCTTTTTGAGTCTTGTACCGTCGTCAGAAAGCGGCCGTAGCCGTCGACAAAAGGCAGCTCGCCCGCTGGACGCCCCAGACACACAATCTCCCAGCTGATTAACCGCGCTTGTCGACCCAGAATAATCTGTGTCTGGCTGGCCAGTTTACTTTTATCGAACAGGATAACTTCCTGCGGCAACCACTCCAGGGTGCCGTCCACCTGCAGGGTGGTGGTTAAGCGCGACTGTGTGCATACGTTGCGATAGGCTTTTGTAGCACCGGGCGTAGTGATCAGTGTATGCGTAGAGGCGCCAACAGAGGCTGCAATATCCAACACATCATCACCCACCATTCCGCCGGGAGGATGCAGTACATACGTGTGATTAACACCTCCTTCCGGAAAGAAGGGTCGCTGCACTCGAAGGGGACCAGTGTGCTGGTGGGCCAGAAGCGTCCGCGCGCCTACCTGACTGTAATTCAGGCTGAGACTTGCACGCCAACCCTGCTGGGCCTCGCCTGAAGCTGTCTCAATGCCTGCACCTGTGCTCACTTCTACTTTCATCACTCGAAAACCAACAGCGTCAAACGGCATTGTGCGCAAGCTTTCTACCGCCGTCCATGAGCGAACACGTAAAATGTCCCAACGCTAAACGCGTCGCGCTCCAAATGAGTGCAGACCAGGCCGGCGTGAACAATATTGGTGCGGCAGAGAAACCGATTTGATTTAGCTTACGCATACTTTCAGAGGGCATTGGCGCGCAACAGATATCGCGCTAAGGTAACCGCATGCAGCGGTTTCTGACAAAAAACAACACACACCGCCGCTGCCACGAGATCGTCCATGCCATCTATTGATCAGTTTTTTCAGCTTTCCGAGCGCGGCACCAGTGTCCGCGTTGAAGGCACCGCAGCCTTTACAACCTTTCTGACAATGGCCTATATAACCGTGGTCAACCCCTCGGTACTGTCGCAGGCAGGCATGGATTTCGGCGCAGTTTTTGTTGCGACCTGCATCGCCGCCGCCGTTGGCTCTATCCTCATGGGTCTACTTGGCAACTATCCTATCGCTCAGGCTCCGGGTATGGGGCAGAACGCTTTTTTCACCTTTGCGATTGTCCTTGGCATGGGACACACATGGCAGGCCGCGCTCGGCGCCGTGTTTCTGTCGGGAATATTGTTTGTGATTCTAAGTGCCCTACCCATACGCGAATGGCTGATCAACGCTATCCCACGGAATCTGAAACTGGGCATCGCTGCGGGTATTGGTCTGTTTATCGGTTTCATTGCATTAAGCAATGCCGGCATCATAGTTGCTCATCCTGCCACCATGGTCAGCCTGGGCGATTTGAGCAGTGCTCCGGCCTTTCTTTGTCTGTTAGGCTTTTTTCTCATCGTCGCCCTGACCGCCAGAAAAATAGTTGGTGCCGTCATTATTGGCATGCTCGGCGTCACCATTATCGGTTGGCTGACCGGGCAGGCAGAATTTCAAGGCATCATTGCGCTACCTCCCTCAGCCGCACCGGTATTTCTACAACTTGATATAGCCGCTGCATTCAACATCTCCATGGTCACGGTAATCATCACGCTGCTGCTGGTCGACGTATTTGACACGGCGGGGACCATGGTGGGTGTTGCTACACGGGCAGGTTTAGTGGACCAGAATGGCAAGCTACCGCGCTTAGGCAAAGCCTTGCTGGCAGACTCCGGGGCGACCGTGATCGGTGCTTTAGTCGGCACCTCTTCGACAACCAGCTACATTGAAAGCGGAGCGGGGGTCGAAGCTGGCGGACGTACCGGATTGACGGCCATATTTGTTGGCCTGATCTTTCTCGCCTGCCTGTTTTTTGCGCCCCTGGCGCAGAGCATCCCTGCCTACGCAACAGCTTCAGCTTTGTTATTTGTTGCCTGCCTGATGGCAAAAGGTCTGGCTGATCTGGATTGGCAGGACATCACGGAATCTGCACCCGCAGTGGTTACAGCCCTGGCCATGCCGCTGTCTTTTTCTATTGCCGACGGCATCGGTATCGGCTTCATCACCTATGCTGGCATAAAGCTATGTAGTGGCGGCGCACGCCAATGCCCGGCAGCTGTGTATGTCATCGCGACCATTTTTATAGCCAAATTTGTTTTCCTGTAGACCGTACAGGTAATTTTTCTGTGACCACCACATGGATTAAAAACCCGTGCGCCAGTTTTGACGGTCAGCGATCAGGTACCGCAGACGGTGGTGTGATCATATCCGACAATACAATTATCGAAGTGCTGGCGTCAGGTGAAGTACCCAGTGGCTCAGTAGATGTTGTTTTTGATGCCAGCAACATGGTTTTGCTGCCCGGCTTAATCAACACCCACCATCATTTTTACCAGACCCTGACCCGAGCCAAAAAAGCTGCCCTGAACAAACCCCTGTTTCCCTGGCTTACTGCTTTATATCCGATCTGGGCAAATCTAACCAACGATATGATTGGAGTATCCAGTGAGCTTGCTCTTGCAGAGCTTGTGTTATCCGGATGCACCACCACAACAGACCACCACTACGTTTTTTCAGATCAGCTGGATGAGGCCATCGACAGACAGGTTCAGGCTGCGGATCATCTTGGTGTACGTGTGGTGCTGACCCGAGGGTCAATGAGTCTCGGACAGTCATCAGGCGGGCTACCACCTGACAACATCGTACAAAGCCAGCAGACCATTGTGGATGACTGCGAGCGCCTCATTCGCAGTTACCATCAGAACACGCCATACGCGATGACGCAGATTGCACTGGCACCGTGCTCACCTTTTTCTGTCACTGCAGAACTTATGCAGGCCTGTGTGGAATTAGCCGAAGAACATGACGTACTGCTACATACACACCTGGCTGAAACCCACGACGAAACGGCATTTTGTCTGGAACAGTTCGGCCTTCGACCAGTCGACTATCTGGATCAGTTAGGCTGGATAAACAGCAGAGCGTGGTTTGCCCATGGCATTCACTTTAATGCCAACGAGATAAAACGGCTGGGCTCCGCAGGCTGCGGGGTGAGCCACTGCCCCAGCTCAAACATGATTCTGGCCTCGGGAATATGCCCAGCGGCCGACCTGGAAGCTGCGGGAGTAAACCTTGCGCTGGGCGTTGACGGTTCAGCGTCGAACGATTGCTCAAACCTGATCCAGGAAGTACGTCAGGCATTGTTAATACAACGCCTCGGAGAATCATCACAAGCGCCAACCGACCAATTAACCTCACACCTTGATGCTTTGCGCTGGGCGACCCAGGGAGGTGCCAATCTCCTGAACCGCCCGGAGCTGGGTCGATTGTCGCCAGGCGCTGCCGCCGATATTGCTCTATTCAAGCTGGACGAGCCACGCTTCAGTGGCAGCGAAGACGGGCTCGCCGCTCTCATCTTATGTGGGGCGGATCATGCTGAAGCGGTGATGATTAACGGGCAATGGCGCGTACAGGGCGGCGCGCTGGTGAATATAGATCTGCCAGGATTGATGGCACAACATCATCAACAGGCTCAACAGCTGTGGGCGGCGCTGTGAAATTTGTATACTGAGTCTTTTCGAACCCCAGGACTCTGTTATGAACGAAGTGCTAACTGAAGACAAAAGCCATGTGCGTTGGATTACTTTAAACCGACCAGCAGCCATGAATGCCATCACGTCTACCATGCTTGCGGAACTCAACGATGCGTTTAAAGCAGCCGACGATGACGCCAATGTACGTGTCGTTGTATTGACCGGCGCCGGACGTGGCTTCTGTTCCGGGCTGGACCTCAAACAAGCTGCATCAGGGGAAGGCATTGGCGGTGCCGATCTGGCATCCGCCGGCGCCAGACACTACTCGACCAGGGAAATATGTACGGTCACCCTGCAACGTATGGATACGCCAGTCATCGGCGCCATTAATGGGGTGGCTGCCGGGTATGGTCTGGATCTGGCCCTGGGTTGCGATATGCGCATCATGAGCGAAAGCGCGGTATTGATGCCGGGCTTTGCCAAAATGGGTGTGGTGCCCGAAAGCGGCGGCACCTGGTATTTACCCAGATTATTAGGTTGGGCTAAAGCCTGCGAGGTGGCCATGCTGGGTGACAATATGGATGCTCAGACGGCCGTTGAGTATGGCCTGGCCAACACTGCCTGTGCGGATGTGGACTTTTCTGACACGGTCAATCAGTGGGCGGAAAAAATTGCGGGCAATGCACCACTGGCCATTGCAGAGATTAAGCGCCTTTTCCGACACGGCTTGACACAAGATTTCGAAAGTCACTCTCATCACGTGCTGATGTCTGTACTCAATCTGTTTAAGTCACAGGACTTCAACGAAGGCGTGCAGTCGTTTGTTGAGAGACGACCACCGGAATTTAAGGGCAGATAACGGGGCGCAATTGCACCCCGTTACATGGGACTTGCCGACCTGCCTGGCGTTTAGAAGAAACGCCGCTTCCCAGTTCTGGCTGATGAATCCCGCATTGAGGTTCACCAACGTGTAGGGATCAAGCTCCAGGTCAATACTGGTGACTTCTGCACCGGTTGCTCCGGCATACGGCAGGCCACTGACAAAGGCACCCGCGCGTTGTATGTCTTCCTGGGTTTGAACATTCAGAGAAAACGGTACTTCTTGTGCCGTAGCAGCTCTTTTGGTTTAACAGAGCGTGGCGGCATCTTAGAAAGTTCTGCGACAAATGCCACATTCTGGTGCGGCTGCAACAAGGTCAGCCGTTCAGTTGGTCCAGGTAGAGGCAACATCCCAGTATAAACAAGGCCATCACCAGCAGAGCAGATACTGTCCGGCGCCTCGGCGGATAACTGTAAAAAGCACGACTCACGCCAAGCCCCTGAATCATTTGTATGATCAATGTCGTTAACAGCGAAGCCCCCAGGCCAATCACATTCCACCAGAGCCAGGACACTTGCGGTAACAACAGCGCCACCACAATGTTGGCCAACAGCCCAACGACAAAACCGCTCAGCGCAGCTTTCTGGCTGACCCCTCGCACCAGCAGTGCAACCACAAACATCGCCAGCAGAGGGCCGTTGGCCATCGAGCCAATCTTGTTGATGGCTTCCAGCACCGTGGGCGCAATCTGCTCAACCTGGAAAGAAAACCCGATACTGAAAAGCCCCCACAACAACGTGGTGACACGCGAGTACGTGAGGGTTTGGCGTTCGTTTAACGCTTTAAACGGCTTCACAAAATCTTCCATGGTAGCCGCGGAGAGGGAGTTGATTGCCGAATCAACTGAGGACATTGCTGCCGCAATCAAACCCACCATAACCAGGCCTACAAAGCCAGGTGCAAAATAATTCATCACATAGGTAGGAAAAACCATGTTGAAATTCGGCAGGCCCGCTGACGTCTGCGGCAACGTATTGATGAACTCCGGATGGGCGCTGGCAAACGCCGCCAGCCCCATGCCCAACAGGCAATAACTGAATACCAGTGGAAAGCGGAGCAGACCATTTAACAGCAGAACACGTTGCGAACCCGCGTCACTGTCTGCAGCCAGAACGCGCTGCGCCTGGCTCTGGTCACACCCGTAATACGCCATATATAGAAAGAAGCCACCTATGAGCATGGGCCAGAACCCGTAATCATTACCGCTGAAACCCCAATCATTAACCAGTGTATCAGTACGATCGGCAAAGAAAGCTGACCAGCTGGTGGCATCCGCCAGCAGGAATACGCTGACCCAGACAGCCGTCACCAACAGGCCAAGTTGAATAAGATCACTGAGTACAACTGCCCGCAGCCCACCCAGCACATCGTAAAAAATCGTTATCGCCATTAACAAGACAACAGACCAGGTGAACGAGATGCCGAGAATCGCACTCAGGATCAGCGCAACACCGTAGATCGTGACACCGGTAGCCACACCGCGAAACAACAGGAAAGCTGCGCTGGCTAATCTGCGGCTCGCAATGCCCAGACGTTGCTCCAGAATCTCATAAATAGAGGTTACCCGCGCCTGCCGAGCCGGTACGATGAGCCAGATCAGCGCTGCCATGGCCAACGGTACTGCCAGTTCATATTGCAGCCAGAGCAAACCACCGCCCAGTGTAAACCCCACAAAAGCAGGCGCCCCCAGCAGACTATTGGTAGAACACTGAGTCGCCATGGTCGAGGCTGCGAGCGGACCACTGCCCATGCCGCGACCAGCAAGGAAATAGTCTGTACTGTTAGCTTGTTTCCGCCCGACATAAGCTGCCAGCAGCAACATGCCACATAGATAGCTGAACAGTATTATCCAATCAAGCAGCACCATGTTGTGCACCTGTAAATAGCGGTTGACTCAATTGCAGCGGAAATTTGTTATCTTTCGCACTAACAGAGAACAGAGCATTCCTTGAACGATTCAGAAACAGAAAATACCGACACTGCATTTGCTGACTTACGCGGCAACAGCGGCGGCATAAACCCGGTTGAGCCACCGACCACCGCAACGCAGTACTACCTGTTGGAGTATCTTTCGCACCTTTATGGCGGTGGCGTTGCGCCTGAGTTGACCAAAGTGCTGTTGCAGACTGTGTCGAAGCGCCGCCAGGCAGATAGCACAGGAACATCAGAAACGAACACCCAGACCACCGCACCAATACTGGACGAACAGGACGTTCTGCTGATCACCTATGCAGATACGCTGGTTGATGGCGACAAACCACCGCTTCAAGTATTGAACCAGTTTGCCCTGAGTTATCTTGCTGACTATTTCAGCGGTATACATATCCTGCCGTTTTTCCCGTTTACTTCTGATGACGGTTTTGCAGTTGTCGACTACAACAGCGTGCGCGCTGATCTTGGCGACTGGCAGGACATCGAGGCCATGGCCGAAAATTTTGATCTGATGTTTGACCTTGTGATCAACCACTGTTCGAGGGAACACCTGTGGTTTGCGGATTTTGTGAATGGTTGTGCACCAGGCTGTGATTTTTTTATTGAGCTGCCAGCAGACACCATCGTGGATGAGGTAATCAGACCTCGCAACACTCCGCTGCTGAGCGAAGTGCAGACCTACGCGGGACCCAAACATGTATGGACCACTTTCAGCGACGATCAGATTGATCTGAATTTCAGCAACCCGGAGGTGCTGTGTCAGTTCATTGAAATCCTCTTTGATTACATTGAACGTGGTGCCCGCTACATACGCCTGGATGCCATCGCGTTCTTGTGGAAACGTCTCGGCACCAACTGCATGAGCCTGCCAGAGACACACATGGTCGTGAAAATCATGCGCCTGCTGATAGATTACACGGGGGCCGACGTTGTGCTGCTGACGGAAACCAATGTGCCGCATCAGGAAAACGTCAGCTACTTCGGACAAAAGGACGAAGCGCATATGGTGTATCAATTCAGCCTGGCGCCTCTGCTGCTGTACAGCTATCTGTTCAACGACGGCAGCTATCTGCAGAACTGGGCAAGCGAACTGCAGCAACCACCTGAGGGATGTGCGTATCTGAATTTCATCGCCAGTCACGACGGTATCGGCCTGCGACCACTTGAAGGTCTGTTGCCAGCCGAAGACATCGAAAAGTTGATCAGCAACGTACACGACCGCGGTGGTTTTGTGAGCATGCGCACTACCAGTGGAGGCGAGCAGAAAGCTTACGAGATGAATATCTCTCTTTTTGCGGCGTTTGGCGGCAGCGCCGACGTTATTCCCGCCTACGTTGGCGCCCATCAGCTTTTGCTGGCTTTTCAAGGTGTGCCTGCTTTATATCTGCGCGCGCTGTTGGGCAGCCAGAACGACCTGGCCGCAGTGGAAAGAACCGGACGTACGCGCTCAATCAACCGTGGCAAGCTGCATGTCAGCAATGTCCAGGAGGAAATCAGTGACGTCAACAGCTTACCGCACGAAGTCTTTAACGCCTTAACCCACGCCCTCCGGGTAAGACGTTTGCAGCCTGCCTTCAGCCCGGCAGCAAACCAGGAAGTGATAATCAGTGGCGCGCAGCTTCTGGTGATCAGACGAAATGCAACACAACAGAAGGTTCTGGTCATTGCTTCATTTTCTGCGAACATCCAATCTGTCTCACTGAGCAGTTTTATCGACCCGGATCTGCTGAACGCATCCGGCATAAAAGATCTTCTGACCCAAACCACATATGCTGCGGAACAGGCACTGGCGCTTGCCCCCTATCAGGTTGTATGGCTTGAACTAGAGCGCATTTAACTCTTTGTTAGCCTTCCTAGTTGTATGCTCACTAAAATCTTCTCTTACAGCTGCTAACAAATCCTCAAAGACGCTCGGATAAACGCTAGTCACCCGGTTCCAGGAAGGAATGTAAGGTGTTTCCTCACCGCTCTGTAAAAAAGATTCTCCAGCTTTAAGAATATTGCTGGCAAACAGCTCTACCGCACGCTCTTCCGCATCACGGTCCAGATTCAAGCCGTTGATTTCTGCATCATTAGCGTAAGATTCAATCAGGTCTAAGGCGACACGAAGATAGGAAGCTTTGATGGTGCGCACGGTGCCCATATCAAATACGGTGCCAAATGTAGCCAACTTCTTGAACAGGCTTTTAGCGATATCCATGCTCATACGTGACAAACCACTGCTGACGTCCTCAGCGGAGAGGGGCTGGTGTTTATGATCGTAGTTATCAGCAACCTCCACCTGGCACAATCTGTTAGTCGAATAGTTACGAAAAACTTCAGACAGCACACCAATCTCCAATCCCCAGTCCGAAGGAATACGCAGATCTTTGAGCACATCCGCGCGCATGGAAAACTCGCCCGCAAGGGGATAACGGAAGCTGTCCAGATAATCCAGGTAGGGATGAGCGCCAGTGACTTTTTTCATGGTGCGAATCAATGGAGATACCAGCAGGCGGCTGACCCGACCATTCAGTTTGCCGTCGGCGACCCGCGCATAGAATCCTTTACAGAATTCATAGTTAAAGCGTGGGTGGGCTACAGGGTATAACAAACGTGCCAACAAGCTTCGATCGTAGGTGGAGATATCGCAATCATGCAGTGCCACTGCTTTCGCCTGCCCCATCGCCTGGATCAACCCAAAGCAGTACCAGACATTACAGCCTTTCCCCAATTCTCCAGGGGCAAGATTCAATGTCCTGAGCTGATCAGCAACGGCACTCATACGAGGGCCATCATTCCAGATCACCGTATGGTCCTGGGGCAGGCGGCTGAAATACTGCAAAGCGTGCTGATATTCCTGTTCATTGGCGCGATCAAGCCCAATGACGATGTGTGACAGATACTTAGCCTGAGCAAGTTCATCAATAATGGTTGCCAGTGCTGGCTGGCGGAGTTCGGAGTACAGACAAGGCAACACCAGCGTCATAGGCCGTTCTCGAGCAAACAGTTCTAACTCAGCTTCCAGGTCCGAAAGTTCCTTGCTGGAAAGGTTATGCAGCGTGGTA